TAATGTTTTTTTATAGTAATCAAGCAAATAAAAAAAATATATAAATCAAAAAATATAAAGGAATAAAAATTTAAAAGATTATGTTGATATGTCATCAATTTTTATTGTTATTCTGCTATTGCACTAATTTATTGCACCACCGTTTCCAAAATATAGTTAAAAGTTTAAGACAATTTTTATGAAATGAAAATCACTGGAAATGTATTAAAATTAATGGAAAATGTAGGAATTTATATTGAGATTGTTATTATTTTAAATAAATTATTAAAAATGAAATATTTGATTGTATATCGAAGAAAAAAGGTACTGTAATACATCACCATACTTAACATTAACATATTTGGCAAGTAAGTTTAGTACCACTACCTAAAGCTAAAAGTTTGATTAAGTATGGTGAAAATCCTAAAGCTACGCTTTCCTTACACCTAAATTTATCACTTCCAAATAATATCGAACGGTAACTGAAAATGGAAGACTAGAAAATAATCAAATTGACGAAAAATCTACACACAATTAAAACAAAAATGCCATTCAGTCAACAATAAACTACGGTAATAGTGAGAATGAGAACTAATCATGGCATTTTTTAAAACTAAAAATAAGAATAATTGTCAATTAAAAAAATATCGACAATGTTTTTTCATTTATCCACTTAGATACTAAGCTATTTTAATAAAAAATTTGTTTGTTTTGTTTGGAAGATCATTCGCATATTAAATCAGTTTTCTTTTTTTATTGTTATAACAAAAAATATCAATTCACTTTTTTGCATGTATCATTATGTATTAATTTAAATTAATAATGTAATAATGAACAACTACTCTAATGAGAAGGTGATGAAATGCCGTGAGTAACGGAGTTCTCTAACACAACATCGAGATCATCTAAGGGCAATAAAATTTGTCTTAAAAATGTCAAAAGACCCTTATTTTGTAAGAACGATTGTTCGTCATACATGTCTTGGGTAGCTTTTGCGTTTGATAGATGTACCAGCATACGATGTAGGAGATGCTCCCTAATAAATATTTTCGATCACCAACATTAAAAATTAATTAAGGAAATAATTGATCTTAAACAAATTACTTACCTGACACTTAAACAGATAAATAGCTGAAATTTCCCATCTTTGCCAAGACTTTTACTAGCACATTCGATTTCGTCAATTAAATGACAATAACACCTCATGATTGCAACGAGCTCCTGGTGGCTTCTTTCTAATGTATTACCACGATTGTTGAAATTTTCTTCGACGAGTTCTAATTCCCACTGTTCTTTTACACGAGCTGAAAGAATTGAATGTTTTAAAGAGACAAACGCAATTTCAAAATATTATAGGTGTAATTTGGTTATTAATGTTGATTTTACTCACAAAAATAATCCCATAAATAATGGTGCCTGCCAAACATTCTGGCTGATTTGAAACCCAGCAAAAAGACTAACTCAAGGCAAGACACAAGACCATTTTCTCCACAGAGAAGCGCAGTAAGGGTAGTATTTCTTTCAGAGCTACGTTTATAGTGCCATTTAACAATGCGGTTCACGCAATCTCCTAAAATTTCAGGAAATTTTTAGTTATCATCTATTTTATTACAATCTTTATTTTTTCAATGCTCAATTTACCTAGCAAATGTTGAATTTGCGAGGGTTTGAGTTCAATCGATCGTGGTGGTGCCGGTGATTTCGATCTGGTTAATGAGCTCGTTCTGCTTTTGCTCTGCTCTGGTTCATCCACTTCTTCCTGCTCATGGATTATTTGTCCCACTAATAAACGTTCTATTGACCCATCGTCGACTCCTTTACCTAACCATCGACCACAAGGAAATCTTCAAAGAAATTGATAACAATTAAAAAATTTAAACGTTGCAAAAACTTTAATAGGTACTTGTAAGTATGTCCAGTAATTCCATTCCTTACAAGGACATAATCGATCATCCATTTGGCATACAAACCACTGTTGTCATGTCCAATTCGCATAGTTGTTATAACACCTACATTATTATGCTGTAAAACGATCAAAAATGAAATTAACAAAAACTAGAAGGCTTTTTATATTACTTTAAAATCAAAGGACAATTGGCTTTTAGGTACAGGAATTTTTTTCGTTTCAGAAAGAGTCCCTGAAAGCACCATCCAAGCATTGGCAGAAGTTGTTCCTTTTTTATTCGGTACAATAAGGACTTTGTAGTTTATCACTGCAGTAACGAAAAACAATTTTTTTTTTGATTAAATAAATCATAGAGGTTTCTTACCAGTTGTGGGATAAGTACTGGTAAAACAGAAATAATCAACAGCATTGAGCGAAAGAAGATGGTACAAGAATTGCTCTCTTTCTTCTTCGCAGCGAAGAAAAGCGGTCCTCTTGTACAGGCTACGTAAAAGGTCTTGATCAGATAGCAAAGTTTTTATATGTTTTGAAAGCTGTTTTTTTTCTAACGCCAACCTAACCCAAGCTCTCGCTTTACCAACACTTGTTCTAACGTCAGCCATTCCTTGAACATTTCTGCAACCGTTTTATTTTGAAAACAAAGTTTAGCTTTTGTTTTTATTATTATTAATCAATTTAATGAAATATTATAGGGGCTGAATTACCGTGGTCTAATTTGGTTTGAAGTAGCAGACGTTTCATTTTCTGCTGCGGCAGATATCTTCAGTGGCGCGGTCGAAGTTTTCTAGTAGAAAGTTCAACGACAAGTGGGGCAGTGTTATAAACTTAAAAATTTTTTTTTATTCCCACTAGCTACCAATGCTGGTGGGCGGACAGTTCCTCCGGACTACGTCGGAAGGCCTTCTGGCATCGCGGGAATGGGTGGGTGGTGGTTCGGATGAGAAAGTTGAGACGGACGAAATGACGACAGAAGAGAATGAAAGATTATCTGTGGAATATTACTGCCCCAGCATTTGCCTAAGTGATCCAAGNAAATCTATATTTGGATTCAGAAAATAACTATGAATTTAGTAGAATAAAAAAAAATACTTACCTGTTGATAAAATTTGATTATTTATTTTTATTGAACATTGATGATACTCTTGATAAGCCAACAAGTGTGACCACAAGGCCGATTTTCCACGCTTTTTTTGCAATCCATGGGACCAAACCCTCTCAAGAAAATCACACAGAGAGGTAACCAAAGTACTTTCTTCTACAGCCCCGTTCATATCGGTACTATTATTGCAGGATAAAGTAACCCCTTCAGCCCCCAATTTTGATAAGAGCATTCGTTTTGTTTTTGCTTTACAGTCCTATGTACACTGAATTGTATTTAAATTTTAGATATTATTATAGTAGTACAAACCTTAAGGAGTTTTTCGACAAAAGTCCAGTTAGCTTGTGCTAAAACAGCAGGAGATACGTCTTGTCCATTGCCAACATTAGATTTTTCTTCATTTGAATGGGACAGTCTGGTCAAACGATAATTTTTCCTTGTTACACTAGCTCTTGGAATGCTTCCTTTATTAATAACGGGTATTTTATTTAATACTTCTTTGTCCAAAAGAGGGAAATATTTCGTAGTCGTTTGAGGTTTTGTGGTCAATATTTCCCTGGGAGTTGGAGATTCGAAATCGGGACTTTCCATACGGCAATCAATAAGTTTTTGTGTTTCGTAGTTAAAAGTGCACGGTTCGTAAGTAAGGGAACGCATTAAATTTTCACCTCCATAACGCTGTCGAAGGCATTTGATTCTATTATCGAATATTTGTAGATTTTCATCAGTTTCTCCCCAAGTTGATAAAATTTTATTATCGATTAGGGTGGTGAACATTTGGGATTCTAAAAACCGCCACAAGAAAGGTCTGTCTTGCTCGGGTTGATCTGATAAGAAAGATGCTTTGTCAAAATTTTGTACTGAGTCACGATTATTCAGCCAGTCCTCTTTATTGTGCTAAAATGAATTAAAAGTAGTTAAGTAAAATTAGTGATTTTTTAAGAATTTTATCAAAAAAGATAAAATTAATATTTATGTTATTTACCTCGTTTGGAATGATAACAAAGTTTTCATAAGTTTGAAACATATGTACGAATCTGTTAAGAAATATTTCCCTGATGGTGTTATTTAACCGAAGATCTTCCAGGTACGAATCGCTTGGATGTACGGAGTTCGTTTTATCCAGGGCCACCCCAGTACGTCTGACAATGTCAGCGATCCTTTGTAAAGCTTCCGACCTGGCGGAACCGGGCGGTGAAGGTGGTCTGTCATAATCCAAATGATCATGTACAGACATCATCCGCTTATTTTGGGGTTTTACAGGTAATGTACAACTTCTCGACATGATATCATAAGTTACTTGCTGTAAAATTTATATGAAAAAACATGTTGAAAGATATAAAACGAAATGAATTACTACCTGAAATACCTTAGCGTTTTCTCCATTGGGGACGTGAACGCGATGCTTATCTAAAGCTGCCCATATTTCAGCGGTAAATGCTTCTAGATAAGGAAACGCTGCCATTTCTTCTGGTAACTGAACTTTACACTTGTCGATGTCCACAAAACATAAAGTGGCCTCGGAAGCCACTTTAATATTATCATTGTTTGCATGAAGCCCTGAAATTTATTTAGAAATTAACAAAATGATTAATAGAGAAAACTAATAGAAGAATTTGCCTTTACATAACTGATCCTTTGAAATAAAACTTTTTAAATGAAGATATATGTATATACATAATTAAAAAATATTCAATTTGAATAAGGTAATAACAAGAGTTGGCCATTTTGTCGTTTTTAGAAGTACATATGTAATAAGTTGAATTTTTACTTACAATTAGTTCGGATTTCTCTTTAGAATATAATAAGGACAAATTCTTTTTAATTATTTTGAGATTTTCGAGTAGAGGTTTTAATGTTGTAATGCCACCTACCCATGAAAAAAGGAACGGGTGCATCAAGGAAATGTTCTAGAGACGCTGGTAGTATTGGGACATACACGTGGGGCCACATAAACGGAAAAAGAAGTGTCGTTATCCCTTCCGCAACCACCATGAGTCTTTGACAATCTTTAAATTAGTAAAGCAATGTTAGTTAGATTCACATAATAATAAATAGAAAATTAGTTGTCATTAAATTGTATTCAATAGAGAAAAATAGTTATCATTAGTTAAACTGTTAGATTTAAAAATTAGCAATTAATTCATGCAAGTATTAGTTATTTATTTATCTAAATATCCATTAATAAAATAAATGCATAACAACAAATAATGTGTTTAATTAAAATTATTTACCTGTACTTCTCAAAAGAATTTGGTTTTCTAATAGAAGACAGGTAAAAAGTTGCAGCACAATATCCACCCCCAACCAAGTAAACATTAACCTTAGGGGAAAATCAAAATGTGGCAACTCTAAAGGATACGAAGGACACTGAATAATGCAACTAGTTAGTGGTAAATGAGGATCTGATGGTGGCAAATGAATCATAATGCTTTTCCCAGGTGCAGGAAGCTGCACCTACAAATGGTTACCTTTAAGAAAACAAAATCATCTATTTAACAGAAAATTACCTCATTCAAAAGATTAAATACATAGCTTTCTAAGCTCAGGCAGTTTGTTGAAATGCTCCTTTTAGGGGCACATCTAAAATGTAAATTGAATATTATTTAAGCAACATTATCTGTTAAGGTAGTTTAATACCTGTATAAATTTTCTAAAAATATTTTGGCAGCATTTACATAAGGAATCTGGCAAATTATACTTATACTCTTTGACACAAATAGTTTGTCTTTCGAAATATCATAATAAGCCAATGAAGGTCCATTTGCTGTAGGTGTAGATAACTTAAAATGTTTTGGCAAAGATCTGGTATGGGGTCCTTGGTTTTGAATAGCTTGTACTATGTTACTTTTAAGATTACTGGACAGTTCAGTTAAGTACATTGCCTTAAATAAATAAATAAATAAATGGATTTAGTTTATAAATGTTTCCACATTCACAATAAAAATAATCATGAGAGAAAAGTGTATGCTTTGTTATAAAATAAGTTTATAAAAACAAAAACCTGCAATGTTTGAACAGCTGTACAAATATCTCGATTTCTAACTTCCTCAAAGAATATGAGACTAAAACCGTAACATCTTTTGCCATCCTCTCGAGTAATTACAAAAGAATGAAAAGAAGGAGATTGAGTTACTGAATGCTTCTGAGTTCTAAATTTTAAACCATTGGGCAGAGCAAGCTAAAATTATGAATTATGTTATTGGTTTCTGTAAGTTAGTACTTGCAAAACACTCACCATACAAACTGCAGATGAATCAAAAGGGTTTGTGGATACATTTTCTGGATAATGGGCCAGTATTTTGCACTTGTAACTTCTTTCAAGTGGAGATACATGTAAATTGTCGCCTTTAAAATAAATGCATATTAATCAAAATAAAGGAAATTCATGAACGTTTTACCTGATACTCTGTCTGGTTCTAAGCCTGAATTATAGTCTAGGCCACATATAACAAAATAATCTGCAAATTTGCTCATTTTACAATAGTGTTTTTAAATTAGTAATTGTACATTTGCGTTTTATCTGTTTCTAAACGACAAGAAATAATACAGCCCAAAGTTATTTAAAAATGAAGAAAAATAACAGTTCATAGTGAATTTACGCTCTAATAACGTTAATAACAATGTTTAACAACAATAGTAATTTGTCTCTTCCTTTTACAATCTGCTGCGATCGCAACCGAACATTACCACCAACACAATACACAAAACAAAACCATAAAGAAAACCTTAGTAAACGTAATAAACAAAAAATCGCTAATAAGTGGAGGAAAATCATTTGACGTTGACATCAAGCTGACGTTTATCTATGATATAACCCTACTAATATTTTGTAAATATCTTATATCCGCAGAGGGAGAGAGTTTATATTTAAATTTTTAAATTATAAATTGTCATTAAGTTCTAATTGTGTTATTATTATAAAATATTTAATCTTTTACATTTTAGAAGTGCACTATTGATTAAGTTAAATAGTACATATTGAAGAGAATGGAATTTATTAAAACTCCTAAGGTATGTCGCCAATCAAGTCCAAATTAAAACATTGTAAATAATATTTATCGAATTTTAGATTGAAAATGTGCAGATGTTGGACCGTTATTCAAAAACCCCTAGTAAAGGAACACTCTACCTTACAGCCACACATTTAATATTTGTGGATCCTGATGCAAAAAAAGAGACTTGGGTATACATATGAACTTTTTAAGACAAACAGAAGATGAAATATAATTGAATTTTAGATTTTGCACATGCACATTGCCAGTTTAGAGCGTCAACCTTTGACTACAACAGGATCTCCCCTTTTAATAAGATGTAAAACATTTTTGTCGGTTACATTTGTTATTCCTAGAGAAAGAGATTGTCATGAAATGCATGTTACTTTACAAAGATTGTCACAACCTGTTAGTATTGAGGATTTGTATTGTTTTCATTACACATCAGGAAATGATATTATAATGAGAAACGGCAATATAGACTCTTTTTCACTTGAAAAGGAGTATCGACGCATGGGAGTTCCAAACAATTACTGGGCACTTACAAATTTAAATAAAAATTATGAGGTAAATTATTACATGAGTACATTATTATAATCACATTGTTGCTAAACACTGATCTTATGTAATAGCTTTGTGAAACATATCCTACAAAGATATGTGTACCAGTATCAGCCGCATCCAATATACTTATTGGGAGTGCTAAATTTCGTTCAAAAGGTCGTTTACCGGTTTTAACATACTTGCATAAAAATGGGGCAAGTATCAACAGATGTAGCCAGCCGCTGTCAGGCTTTAATGCAAGATGCATTGAGGATGAAAGTTTACTAAATCATATTCTCACTACCAATCCTGCATCTCCTTTTATGTTTGTGGTTGATACACGACCCAAGGTATACTTGTGCAATTAATTAAATGCTTTATTTTTATTAATAATATGAATGTTTTTACAGATTAATGCTATGGCAAATAGGGCTGCTGGTAAAGGATATGAAAATAAGGCTTTTTATGAGAACATTAAATTCCAGTTTTTGGGGATTGAAAATATACATGTGATGAGAAACAGCTTATCAAAAATTATAGAAAGTAAGGAATCAGTTAATATAACTTTAATCAATGTTTGCATATAATGCCTGTGTATGACCACTTTTAATGTTAATAATAATTCAAGATAAATGATCAGTAATGTTTTCTGTTTTTCATATCATTGACCTTTTAGACTTTAAAATTAAAATTAGAACTATTAATAATTATATTATTATATNCTACTAAAATATTTTTCTGAGATTTAAATATGTAATATGTTTATGTATGTATAAGAGATCATAACTAATGATTAGGATGTATTTTATAAAATAATCAAAAACTTTTTTAAGCATGTGAACAAAAGAACTCTTCCATGAATAGTTTTTTGAGTGGATTAGAGTCTAGTGGTTGGCTACGGCATATAAAGGCGATTCTAGATACAGGACGTTTTATTGCACAAGCCGTAGAAGATGGTGTTAATGTTGTGGTACATTGTTCAGATGGTTGGGACCGTACAGCACAAGTTTGTTCCACGGCAGCCGTTCTACTCGATCCATATTATCGCACAATTGAAGGATTTCAAGTATGAAGATCAATTCTTATGTAGTAACAGTATTGTAAAATCATTCCTTTTCTTTTTGTATTCAGGCGCTTATTGAAAAAGATTGGCTAGCATTTGGACATAAATTTACAGACAGATGTGGTTACATACAAGGAGAGAATAAAGAAATTTCTCCCATTTTTACACAATATTTAGATACGACGTGGCAACTGATGGTTCAGTATCCTTCAGATTTTCAGTTTAATGAGAGATTTTTGCTCACATTACATGATCACGTTATGTCTTGCCAATTTGGAACATTTATTGGAAATTCAGAGAAGGAGCGTCAGGAATTAAAGTATACAGATACATGTAACTTTTTTAAACAAGAATTTGTAATTTTAGTTTGGCTTTAGGTTGAAAGAGAGAACATTTTCGTTGTGGAATTACATGAATCATCAGATAAACGAATTTATTAACCCACTGTTTTGCAGAGAAAACACGACTGATATTTTAAAGCCTAATTTATGTCCCCAAAATATAAGGTAAACAGTTGTTATTAAAATCTAAAATTTAACGGTTTTCTAAAGTTTACAATAAATCTCTGAAATTATTCTTGAAGTGTTAATATTTGGAACTTTACTTCATATTTTACAGTCCAAGCCTTAATTTTATTTTTTTTTAGATTTTGGAGAAGTATGTATTGTCGATTCGAAAATGGGGTGCACCCCAGAGAGCCTTTAGGTGACCTTCTTTTAGCTACTGTTGATCACAGTAACTCTTTAAAAGATCACATAAAATATTTAAATAAGGTATTTACATCATTTTATAAACTTTTCTATTAGAAAAAGATTTCATCCTAATTTCTAAGTTTAATACATTCATTAATAAAAGCAGCGAATTGAAGTTTTTGTTTGCTTTTTTTACAACAGAAAATCGTAAATGCTAAAAACTTCATAATGGAAAATTCGAAACGATTGGGAAAACCATTATCAAAATCTGTTAATAAAACCGCAACGATTGACGTCTCTGACAACAAATATATTTACGATATTAAACAAATAAATTCATCTGAAGATTCTTATCTTTGGAAAAAGACTGCCGAAGGGATTAGCCCTTGTGAAGAAGCCCATTCTAAAGTAGAAGAATTGACAAAAAATTTAGATTCTGTGGCTCTTGATTGGAAAACTCTAAGGAATATTAAAGAATGTGGATGTTCAACGCCATTTGATCATTTTAGTAGAAAGGTACAATTTTATACATATAGTTTCTATTTCTGGTCCTTATTATAAAATGTGCAGAATAATAGCCAGTTCAGGGACGTTTCGCTCTTAGGTGTATGGTTTCCTCAAGGCAGGTTTTGAGAAAGGTTTACACCTAGCAATGAAACGTCAGCGCCTGTTGGGTTTTTATTAAAAAATTGTAAGATTTTATTTCCTTAAAATATCATTTTATAGATATTTCTTGTTTTACTTTTTTCTGTAATGTTGATACTAGTTATGTATTTAATTTTTTTAGAATCATTGTAGAAAGTGTGGAGAAGTATTTTGCGTTAGATGTATTGACAAACAAGTAATTCTTCCCGGCCATTTAACAGAAAAAGCTGTACCTGTCTGCAGGCCGTGCTATGACGTTGTACAAGATACTTCAGAAACATAGGAATTTTTAGGATTTAAATA